AATCTTTAGATTTAATTTTTGAATATCTTTATATGTTAATAAAATTTGTCAAGTAAAAAAATATTATTTTTTAATAATAATTTTTTTATAATATACATTATCATGTACAAAAATGTTATAATCTTTTAGACCAAAGTGTTTTATAAATAAAATTCATTACTATAAGATATTATTAATAAGTAAAATATCTATTTTTTTCTATTTTCCAAGTTTCTCGATAGTGCTTGTCGAACCATGTTTCTCTATATATACATCTTTCTGAAAGATACCTTTACCGAAGTTCCCTCGGGAAACACCACGGAGCCACTATCGGAGTCTACAAATGACTCTTTATCACTCTGAGGAAAGTCCCTGGACTCGTGGCAGAAAGTGCCGTAGCTTTTGGCTATCAGCCTCCGTCGTCTTCGCGAATTTCAGGAGAGGAAGTTTCGGCCGATCCTTCGTGATGGACGTGAGAGTGTTCGTCAAAGTAAAGTAATGTGTGTTGAAACGTTTCTGCTCTTCTGAGAAGAATCAGCAACGTTTGAACCGAACAGGGCTTATCACACGAGGAAACTTCAACTTTTTTTTAAATTTTTTTGTCAACCCTAAATTTTTCTCTTTAAATATTGTAAATTTTGTTAACTTATGTTTTTTAAAAGAAAAAATATTTTTTTAATACTGAAAGATTGGAACTCTCTGACGCGATTAAGAATCTTCTCTGTAATATTGGATCGACAAAATATTAAAGATCAACAAATTTATAAAGTTTGTTACTATTAAAATTTGAATATATTAATTTATGATATAATATTCATTTACTATAATAAATAATCTGATGTTTTGTAGACATATGTATATATCAATGAACTCAATTTCAATTAAAAACTATAATATTATATTGTTATCATTCGAGTTTGAGTTATTATCCATCAGTTGGTTACTGTAATATTATATATACCTATAGTCGATATCTACAATTATTTCTGTTCTCATTATAATAATAAAGATAATTTATTATATTTAGATTTGATGATCATCAACAAAATCTCATTGTGTTTAAATTAAATAGATATTTATACTTAATTAATAGATATTTAATTATGTTCATTCGAATGAAAACATTCTCTCTCAGACTTCTCTCCAATTTTGCTCACGAGACGCCCTCTTCATGCCTTCCTTTACACCGCGTTAAATCACGGTGTTGCGCGATGTTTCGTTACGAGTTCCGTATCCCGCAGTATTGATAATTTCCATTTTAGGAAATCTTGCCCGTTTCACCATAGCATGATCAGGAAACAGCCGAGAGTGGGCTTCCTGCAAATACTCAAGAAAAGTACTAAGGCTTTCCTTATCTTCGAGGGAGTACTGTTGCTAGGATCGTACGGATTTTGGCGTCGCCTGAACACTTCGCAAGGTGAATTGCTCCGCTTAGCTTATAGAACCTCGCCTCCGTTCCCGAATTGCTCCGCCTAGAGTTACGTTCCTGCCATCCGATATTCTCGAATAATTTTAACCTATCCAGGCTTATTCTAGATCATGCTTTGTATATTCGAGATAAAATGAGCAATGATAACGTGAATGGAGAAACAGCTAAAGAGTACAGCTGAAAAAAAAGGATCTCTCAGTCACTTCCTATATTTAGTATCTGGCAATAAATATGACAGATTGCCGAGATTTTTCTGTATGAATTTGCATTAGGCCTGTTTTTTTTAACAGAAGTTCTTCTTGCACGGTTCATTTTTTCTCTTTTTCTTTTCATTTTGGAGAGAAAAAGAGAAAATGTATAAAGCAATTCAGTTAAAATGAACTGACCTTTTGCAAGGATGACTGCATAGAATAATTAAAAGTCAATTTATTTTTCCACTGAATTGCTTCTCATTTAGTATTGAAGTTTGCAACACATTGTTACATTTACAATGGTTGTTTTAGCAGAAAAAGCAGCTTTGTAACTGTTGTAAGATTCTTTAATCAGCTGATCGATCTTGTCCTTTAATTCCTCACTGGATCTAAAAATATAAACCAATCATGTAAAAAAATCTTAAATCTATAATTAAATCTATAATTTATTTCAAAGCAACTTTTTCTGCTGAATACAGTCGTTGTTATTGCAATATTACTACAACATTGCAATGTTCACTACAATATTGTTTGAATAATCTACTATATGAATTATCTCTGCTTAGATTTTTAATTAAACTTTTTGCATGGTTCATCTCTTTTCTTCTTTTTTCTTTAACATAAAAAAAAGGGAAAAGTTAAACCATGCAAGAAGTTTATTTAAATAAAATTTTTTGATTAGATTAATCTTCTATATTTCATGTACATTAGATTTCAGATATTACGTACATCAACATTTTCCTATAATATTGGAGGGTTACTATACTATTGGGGAACAGTTGTCTGGCAATGATTATTTGAGGACATTTGATTACAAGACCTGGACAGAGAAGCGCAATGAGCATTAAATCTTCATGGCGTTGAAATTTATCGGGATTTCCATAGCATCGGTAGTTATTGGTGGTGGAATAGGAAACGCTTTATTTTACTTTGTTAAAACCGACGAAAAAGATCTCATAAAGGTAATCATAATTATATTATTGTGAAACTAATAATATATATGTTTTTTTTATTGTTTTTATATGAGTACTGATGGCAATGTTTTTTTCCTCAGTTGTATAATATATTTTTTAATAAAGAAATTAGTCAGTAATATTTATTGAACATTATAAGTAATTTTATTTATTAAAAAGTAATTTTACAAAGTTTTATACAAAAGTTACATTTTTACTTAGGAATCTAAAAAAATGATGGTATAAATCTTTTTTTATTTGTGTTTAAATTGTTTTAGCATCTTCCTCCGTATTCATCAGAAAAACATAATCTTTTCTTTCCACAATATAAGAAAAAAAGTGAGAGATTGATGAACCAAGAAAGGTCAAACACAGGTTTGAAGGCGTTCGAAGCTCAAAACAGTGTAAACCATATTGAAAAATAGCATTAACTAAAATGGACCCTACTGAGTTTATAGAGGAAAGTTTACCAGATCGTATCACGAAGAGGGATCGAGAACGAAAAAATGTTATCGAAAGGCGAAGAGAAGAACGTCAATCGCTCGCCGTGGAATCCGAGCAAAGCAGCTACTTTAAAGATACATTTTACTCCTCTTGCAAGAAGATCAAGGATATGCTAGACGATGCATCCAGTACGCCGTCCTCAGCATTGCCAGGAATTTTCGAAAAGTCAAACAAGGAGATTCAATTGCTTAAGAACTATTTATCGCAATCTAAAATGTTTCTAAAGGTTTATGACATAAGACGTGCACAAGAAAATTTGCAATCGTTAGAGAATCAAGCTTCCGAGTTGGAGATGAAGCTCTTGCCTAAAAAAAAGTTTGGTTTTAAGAATCGTAGAATCGTGAAAAAGCCTTCCGACAAGGGGCTCGACATCACAGATGGCTTGAAAGATCTCAAGATATCTGAGAGCATTGTGAATGGTTCGACTAAACAGAACAATAAATTGTCGAGCAAGTACGGAGATAGTGCCTGCATGCTCTTGGGCAAAATAAATGAACGTATAGTGTTGGACGCAGAGAATGTAAATAAGAACGACATTCTACTTTCTGATCTGGTTCGCTGTACTGTAAGGATATATGGTACACCGAGCACCCTGCATATGGTGAACCTGAAGCAATGCACTATATTAGTTGGACCGGTAACATCCTCTGTTTACGTGCACGACTGCAGTGATTGTGTATTTGCTTTCGCATGTCAGCAGCTGCGATTACATTCATCGACGGACTGTACCATTTATTTACATGTCACAAGTAGGGCAATCATAGAGGATTGTACGAAGATACGTGTAGCACCTTACAACTGGTCTTATGAAGATCAGACGAGTCACTTTAATCTAGCCGGCCTTGATCCAAAGATTAACAATTGGAACTGCATCGACGACTTCAATTGGCTATCTAGTGAAAAACATTCACCGAATTGGTCGATTCTCGAACCGGAGCTTCGGGTGAAAACGTGGGATTAAAATAAATACTTGTAAAATAAAGAGGAAAAGAGCAATTAAAACTAACAGTTGTAGCGAACATTTTATGGAACCTAATTCTTTTTTCTCCGAATATCAATTTATTTACGTAAATAAATCATCTACATATATATCATGCTTTTTCACAAGATGCAAGTTATATATGCAAATTTTATACATTTACGATATCTAATAAATTTACTGTTTGTCCAATATACAGGGTGTCCTGTTTTACAAGTCATACCTAAATAACTTTAGAAAGACGATTAGAAAAGAATTATATATAAGAGAAATCACGGTTTTATTTAAGAAAATAAAAATTCTTTTACAAAACTTTAAAATTATCTAGGTTTACTTTTTAAAATGGGACAATCCTTTTATATATTATATACAAATATGTACATATTATACATATTATATCTTTGTGTTTTGCATCTTTCAATATAAGAACTCGTTGGAATCGTTTGTTATCCCTCCTTTTTTAAAAGAATTATAGACATTAATATAGCCTTATGTATACAATCAGATTGGCATTAGTAATCGTATTTATTTAGTTTGAATTTGTAGATAAATATATCAAAGTTGGTTTGTATGTGTGTATTCTCTTATATTTTTCATCTATCTCTTTCTAACTGTTCCGTGAATATAATTTAAATTCAATTAACGTATTTATAATTATTATATTTATATAAAATTCGCAATTACGTTTTATTTTAATATTGCATAATTCGAATTTCTAAATACTTCGCGTTTGCGAAGTATTCGATATCCACGATATCAAATCTCGCGGATCGACGATCATACACAATATGGCGTGTTTCGTTTTCTAATTTCTTCGCTTTGGGGCGCGATTCCGTAACTGTCTTTACACGCCTACCGACAGTTGTCGGTGTTGTTGCGCAGATATTTTATATGGTGAAAAAGCTGCGCAACGACACCGACAATTGTTAGTAGAGGGCTGCGTTCTGATTCATGCATGGTGCGCATGATACATCATTTATCCTTGTTTAATATACAATGCATAACAAGGATAAATAATGCAGCATGCGCATCATGAAACGGAACGCAGCTTAAAACAGTTACAGAATATAGGCCCTGCGCTGTGCGAAGAATAATCTCGAGCAAAGTAGATACCCAATCCAGTATATCCAGTTACTTCTTAGCTCGTGATTTATTGGTTACACGTGAAGTCGAAGTATGAACTGTCAAAAGAGCGCCGATACCGCTCGTGATGTCATTTTTGGTGCCGCCTGAGGTACGCAAAAATTCCTTGATACGTATCAACGGGATATCTGGTAAAGTCACAGATTTCATGGTTCTGATGTTTGTGTCGGTGCGTCATCGCCTAAATAATAGGCAATAGATATACTAGAAATATATATTCCCAAGGAACGTGTTTTTTTCACATTAAAAGAACTACGATTATGAAACGTGGACAAAATTCAACGCAGAGAATACAGTCTCATGTCTTCGGTTTAGCCTGTAAAATTTGTGATTCATAAAGTGTATATTTCAGTTATTAGGTACTTGGAGTCTTGAGAGTGCTCATGCGAACAATTTGCACGTAAATTGATATGGCAATAGCATAGTGTGGCGATAACACCTAAGAAAACATTTATAACTGCAACAAGTATTAATTGTGATTTTAACAAGGTGTGTCTTTTGAAATATGTATTATACTTATATATCTATTTGTATTATATAAAGTTTGTTTAATGTAAGTTTGTATTTTACTTATATTTGATATATTATATTATCGCTTGTCAGCACCATGGAGTGGTTATTCGGCAAGCGTATCACTCCTGAGGAAATGCTCAGGAAGAATCAAAGGGCATTGAACAAAGCGATGCGGGATTTGGACAGAGAAAAAGTGAGAATGGAACAACAAGAGAAGAAAATTATAGCGGATATAAAGAAACTTGCAAAAGATGGACAAATGGTAATCTACAAACTTCTGTTTGATTTCTGTTTCTATTTGTACAATATTATACCGTGATCTTTTTTAAATTGATTGTAGGATGCTGTGAAAATTATGGCTAAAGATCTGGTCAGAACAAGGCGTTATGTGAAGAAGTTTATGTTGATGAAAGCAAATATTCAAGCAGTGTCACTAAAGATACAAACCCTACGTTCCCAGAACACGATGGCACAAGCCATGAAAGGAGTAACCAAAGCGATGCAAAATATGAACAAGTAAGTGCACCATGATGTATCAGTGTGTTAATAATTTTGTTTTATTAGTAAGACATTTTACTTGTGTTTTTGAACTAAAAGTATAATTATTAATTACAATCATTTATTTAGTATCTATATATTTTGAATAATGGTTAATCTCTATTTCTTATTTCTATTTTTTTATAGACAACTAAATTTGCCTCAAATACAGAAAATATTACAAGAATTTGAAAAACAATCAGAGATAATGGATATGAAAGAAGAAATCATGAACGATGCGATAGATGATGCAATGGAAGATGAAGGAGATGAAGAAGAAAGGTATCAAGTTTTTTTTAATACATAATTTCTATATTCATAAATTCTATTTTCTGTCCATTTTTATTTCAAGACTATCTTAAGTAATGTTTTAAGATGCCAATAACGACTCCTGATTGGGATTTCTGACACCTTAAGACTTTATTTAAATCTTAAATATAAGAATGGACTGTCAATATTGGCCTAATAAGTGTACATTATTAAATTAGAATAAGGTCTTTATTTTTTCATTTAAATTATTGGATTTTCAGCAAATGTGTGAAGTTCAAATTATAAATAAAATTATGTTGTAAAATATGTATTTTTTATAAATATATGTATACGTATTGACGTTTTATTTTCGCAGTGATGCTGTAGTTGCACAGGTGTTGGATGAGCTGGGTCTACAGTTGACGGATCAACTCTCTGGACTACCGCAAGCATCTGGATCGCTAAGTGTAGCCGGTTCTAAGCAACCAGTCGCCGCTGCAGCGGGTAACGAAGAAGGAGCAGGCAATCTTGCGGATGCTGATGCGGATCTACAAGCTAGATTGGAGAATTTGCGACGCGAATAAATCAAGATTATAATATTATTAATTAGATAATGTATAAAAAGTGTAAAAAGAATTGGCTTTATAGCGATGAGAACAGTTTCGAAGCGGTTCGTTCCTGCTTTTAAATATATATACACTTAAATGTATATGAATTTTTAAAAAGAATTGTTTGCATACAATTTTCTTGAATGATTAGTCTTTGTATTTTCTACGCACGTTGAATTTTATAACTGCTTCTATACAGAACATTCTCTGTAAATGCCTAAGTTCATAATATTATATAAATATATACATATATATATATATATATATATATATATATATTCATATACAAAAAGATACTGTATAATAAAATATACGACCACAGAAAAACGTACTCCTTTATTTGGATCAAATCAATATTCGGTATTCAACTAATTTTTTTACCACTATTATTTAATATTTAATTTTTATAATATTTGTAAATTAATGTGTGTTATTACAATTAATATTTGTAATTAATTCTATTTCATATCTAGAAAAAAAATTTTCAATATTGGATTTAAGGAAAGCTAAATTGATATAGCAAGATTTAGATATAGATTTCAATTTTTATAACTTCGATATGAGTTTATAAAAACTTCCATCCCCCCCCTGTTCTAATCGTTCGATAAACTCGATAACGACGATTATTGTAGCGGTAACTTATCGATGCGATCCTCATTCGACACTCGATGACTTGCAGGAATTCTCGATGTTGGCGACACGGACGTTCGCGCCAGCTGATGTTCGCGCGTTAGATTACAGACATTCAATTAAATTTCCTCGATCGAGAGAAATTGACCCGTACAACGTGAGTGAAAAGATTGGGAAAGATATGCCAGGAGACGAAAGAAAGACGACGGAAGACTATAGTGACTCTGAACTGTCCCGAAGGTTTAATTGAGAATTGAGGCTACGGATGTGGTGGGTCAATGTACCATCACACACATTTCGGGAAGGAGAGAGAAGAAAGATAATGATGTAATGAATTTGGAGACACTGGTAGTGCTTGGCGCTAAGTCAAAGCGCAGCGACACTGCCGTGCCTTCTTTACGCGATTATATTCACTCGTTTGTGAACGTTTTGTCACGATTGCCCTTTGATCGCGATACACACGTACATATATGTGTCACCACTACGTCTACGTTGCCGTGAGGAAAAATAGCACGTGGCATTGAGATAATTCCTCGATACAGCACGGGGTGTTGGGCGCCAAATCGACCTTGCCAGGAATTCCGGCGACGAACGCATCTCGAAGACACCAAAGGACACGTGGAGACCAAGGACGAGAGGTAGTCTTGTTGCGCAAAAAAATACGGTTAGATCATGATACATCGTTTTCGGACGGAGGCTCGTGACGTTCTATAAAACGTCACTCAAATTCACGAACGGTATGTACATCTCAATGTACAATGTCAACATAGGGTGCTTTCTATTTAGGTTGTGTTTAGAATGTTGTTTAGTTGTGTTTAACTTCACCGAATGTTAAACAATAATAAATATACGTATACGATAAAATAATACGTGGGTACATCCAGGTGAAATTTTTGAACGTAGTTTTAATGATACAAATTAACACAAACTATTCTGTCCTTGACATTCCAGTAAGTAACAAAGATAGAATGATATCGATTTGTATTATTAAAAGTACTAGTAGGCAAGTTTTTTAATTCATTGATGATTAATTACATGTACAAATGCAACTTTTATGAAGCAAAATTGCATTTGCGCATAATGCGATTGATTCATCAATGAACTAAAAACTCACCTGTACTCTTGAATGAATTGTGTACTCTTTCCTGTTCATTACATGAAATGTATAACTTCACGTGTCTGTTTTTCTAGAACATTGACTGTTTAGTTGGAGTTCATCCTCGAACAAGATGAGCAGTCAGCTGCAGACTAACTTGATCGCCGCTGCTATCGGAGCAACTATCGGCGTCATAAGCGCTGCTAGTATCTTTATATATCAGAAGGTCTTGGAGAAACAGCAACATGCCATGAAGAATGCCCATCTGGACGAAGTCGATCGTCGTCTCACTGAATTGCAAACGGAATTAGAAAGATTGAGGTAATAATAATTGCTGTTCTTTCATTGACATTTTAAGATGTATGGAATGTTCCTAAAGTATTTGGTCTAATTCAATTTCTTTTGCTAATCCTGATTAATTAGGTACTAATGGTTTATTCAGACGTTTATATATATTTATATTATTTATATATATTTATATTATTTATTTATTTAATCTTTGCCTTGCGGCTTAGAATGGCTTTCAGTTTATAATCTTACAATAATATTTTTTAAAGTTACAAAAAATATATTGTCAAAAAAAATTGTCTCTTTTCTATCTTTAAAAGTTAAATTAAATTAAACTTAATTCTTTTCCAGGCGTTATATACATTATTTTCTATTGCTATATAATTTTTAAGTCTAAGAATGTCAACAGATTGGAAGAACACATTTATATTTCTAGCTTTTTCATTGGGATGAGTGTTAGACAGAGTTTAGACAAATATCTTCTAGGAATTAATGTTTTTGTTTAATTTAATTTCATTGATATCTAAATATTTATCATTTTCAGAACACAACAAAATCAACAGAGAAAGAAGAAGAAGCTTAATTCTAAACGTGATAATGATCATACGTACACTACAACAGATAATGATACTGATGTGGATGGCTTTTCAACAGCAGCCGACGAAGAATTTTTCGACTGTTCAGACAGCGAAAATGGTATAAGTGACATTGAAAACAGGTCAGTTTAATATTTTTATTATTCAAGCGCATCGCGATTATCACAGCTGTAAATTTAGTTTAATGTTGTGGGTAGCATCATTGCACATATCAAATCCATCATTCTGTATCAAAGCTTTTTTTGCTTATACACACAAGTTAAATCTACAAACTTCATTTAAATTATAATTGCATGCTGAAATTTGTTGAGTTTGCGTTTTTATCCGAAATTACAACTACTCGAAACTTAAACGGGAAAGATTATACGCTTAGTGATGCAGGACAACTGAAGCCACCTGCCTTGGATTAGACCTTTCTATTTTCGATGAGCATTACAAACAAGGTGGATATGAAGAAAATGATTACCTTGAACTACGAGATTTCGTAGGCATGTATCCAAATAGTGTAGACATAGTATGGAGATATGCCAGAAGCTGTTACAAATATTCAAATTGCACCACTGACGCAAATGTAAAACAAGCTGTTGTTTGTGCAGGTATAACAAATTATGCTCAATTTTGCGTATCGTTAGTCGTTCATTCAACAAAGTCCTCATTTGCAACGAATTATTTTAGGAATTGACGCTTGCGAAAAGCTTCTCATTACACCAAATGCATATCTGCACAAATGGTGTGCTATACTTGTAGGTGTAAACGGTGACTTTTTGCCACTAGCGGAAAAAATAAAAAATGGTTACCGTTTCAAGGATCATGTAATGAATGCCTTGGAGATATGTCCAAATGATGCTGCTCTGCATCATCTACTCGGCAGATTCAAATACGAGGTGGCTAACTTAGGTTGGATAGAAAGAAAGGTAATGTTTTACCATGGTTTGATGTTTTTCCAAACAGCATCTCAGTTTACAGTTGCGATTAGTTATTAATCAAGATTGACCGAAGAATTTGCAACTCAAAGAAAATGTACATAGCGAGATAAATTACACAATAATTGATTATTTTCTTATGTAGCTTGCTGCGACATTATTTTCGGAGCCGCCAAGTGCCTCGTATGAAGATGCGATTGATAGCTTCCAGAAAGCGGAGGATTTTTCGGCCGAAGTAAATCTGGAGAACAAGCTGTTTCTAAGCAAATGTTACATAGCACTGGGCAACTATCAACTGGCCTGTCAGTTGCTAGAAAAAATTTGTGACGTATCAGTTACAAATGAAGACGATGAAAGGATACAGAATGATGCTCGTCAACTCCTCGCCAAGTACTCGAGATATCAATAATGGACACATTAATTTTTATAGATGAGAGAATGTATCCATTCCATATATTACAAATACATTAATCGCGCGATGATAACGAATTCACTGATGTAACTGATTCGCGGGGAAAGAAAAACGTATGAGTAATCTAATTATAGAAGGAGCGAAGTACACAACACACAGTTTTATCTTGGACTTTTATACAGAAACTGTATAAAATAACTATTATTTGTCTCCAAAGATAAAAAGATACAAAACGGCGCGGGATGTTTTAGGAAATAACTTTTGATGAAATACATTTTAGAATTGTCATTTTATTGTATAAATGCTAGGCCTACCATGGTTTATTCTATTCATTATATAGACTTATAAATTTATTATGTTGGTTTTATCTTTCTATTGTCTGTTTCTTAATAAATGATACAACATGATAAATATTGTTGAAGTTATTAAATAGTTACGAATTTTTTCATCAAATTGTCTCTTTTCTTATAAAGAGCTTTTCTCTTCATCCTTTCTTTTCTTCCTTCTTCCCCCTCTCTTCTTTCTCTCTCCTCTCCATATAAGTATAATTTTATTTTGCAAGTATA